CTGAAGATTGATCTGAATCGAGAATTTAATGCCGAAATTGAGCTGAGAATTGAGAAAGTAAAATGAGTTGTGAGGAGGGATAGTAGAGTCTGTAAGTATATTTATACACACGCGAAGCGATCATTGTATAATCTGTCATTGGGGGATTTTTTTTTTTTTTTTTTATTTCTTTTTGTGAAAGAGAAAAAATGGTTATAATAAATTGAAATGATGAAGGGGACAGTGAAAAGTAAAAGGAAGATATTAGATATGATTTGTATGAAGGTCATGAAAGAGATGTGAGCGTGAGGGCGTGCATATATAGTATACACACACACACAAGATTTCTTTTTAGAATTGGACTATGTATGCAAATCATAGCATATCAGCTACGTGTTAAGATTTCGTAATTTTTTTAATTGCATATCCATTTAGTTAAATAAATGAATGCAACCTCAATAAAACAACAATATTAACTCATGTCCATCGTTCGTAGAAGAGTTGACGTTTGCAACCTCAACCAAAGAACCCGTGCCTTTGATTTTAGGCAGTTAACGACATGTTAATCTTCTACCACATCAGTTGGTAACTATATTATCTTGTACCAGGGGCGGAGCCACCCATGGGCTAGGGTGGGCTCCAGCCCCAGGTAAAAAAAAAAAAGAAGTAATAGTTTTACATTTAAAAAAATTACATACTTAGCCCCATCTAATTTTTTCTTATGCCCCATTTAATTTTGAATTTGTGTAAACTAAAATGAAGTTCACAGAAAATTAAAGGATCAGATTTCGAGATCTGTTATGAACTTGGATTTTGGTATAATTTTGTATTCATTTTTTTGTATATTTTTTTGGTACTGATAGATAGATGAGGGGGAGAGTTGGGGAAGAAGATGAAGTTAAAGATATTAGGGAGGGAGAGAAGGGGGACACGTGAGGGGGGGAAGAGGGAGAATATTTGGGAGAAAGAGAATATTGGGAGATGATATAATCTGTGGTATAAATTCTTGTCCCATCCTTTGGTACCACTATTATATTTATAGAAATTTGAAAAAAAAAGAAAAAAAAGAAAAATTACATTTATAGATAATAGTTAAGTACTACAAATTCTAATTACTAACTCCATAACTCACTAACTATAATAAAATGCTAAGTTCAATTATAATAATACTAATATATAATATAAATAGGTAAAATACTAATATAATATAATTTTCTTAATAAAAGCTTATTTCTTATATATTGGGTACATGACACTTATGTTATGAATTCAGACGATTTTCAGGTGGAATTGAAGAAAAATGTGAAAAATGAATCGCAGAAGAAAAAGAGTAAGGAAGACGATGGGAAGATTGAGGTTTTTTTTTTCAAACAAAAAAGTTGACCAAGAGCTGCCACGCGCACCGACCTTA